AACAGCTCTTAAGCTGCCTTACAACAAAAATGATGACCCATACATGGCGGCTCACAAATTCCTCGACAAGAACAATCTCAGTCCTTTGTTTCTCGATGAAGTCGTACAATTCATCCAGCAGCAGACTAGTTCTGCTACATTGGGCGAGCAAATAGGCAACTACGTTGATCCATATACAGGTATTTTTTTAATATCTTCCATAATTTCAGTTGAAAAGGATTAATTATTTTTGTAATTGTCGACATAAGGTGCATCTCGATACATGGCAGGGACTGGAGAGACAGTCGCCCCATCAGTAGGCGATCCTTTCACTGGGTCCAGTCGATACTTACCGGGTGCAGCTTATCAAACATCACTGCCAGGTCTGCTGCGTTCATGTGCTCAGAATGATTTTTCACACAGTTGATATTCATTCTTTCTCACTCTCTTCTCTCTCACTCTCTCTCTCACACACACACAAATGTTCTACGGTGTTTATTTACTGTTATCTCTGCTTTTCAAGGTGACCATGCTTAATATTTATTATTCTTTTTTTCTATTGCGTACTTATTAGTATTACAAGCTGCCTTTTAACATACTGTCATTTCCTCCATTGTTAATTTTTAATTACTGTTCTTTAATTCTAATTATTTTACCAGTCATAAATTCTTCACAGAATGTTGAAATAATTTAATTGTCATTAACAACATTACCTATTTATTTGGAAGGCAAACCGAAATCTAACGTTGAAGACTCTGTTGCCTACTTTCCTGAGAAAAATTTCATAAAATTTGAGCAAATCAATACCCAAGCAATGTTAAGTAAGTTCTCTAATTACAAATTTAATATGCCTTGCTATTCATTTAAACTTTGTATTACTGTACATTTAGGCAAATTGCAAGAATTCAATGAACAAGTGGATGAAGATAATAAAATGAAAAGTCATGAGTTTGAGCAAATCAAGAAATTATTGTCTGGTGGTTCATTTGACGTTTCAAGCTTTTTCCATGCTATTGATAAGATGCTTTTCTGGCCATGCGGTTTGTTCTAATATATGATCAATGAAAGTAATTAACTAATTTATTCTGAGGTAGGCAATGTTAGTGACTAAGTTTCAAGAACTAGGTGAAAATTAATGTTTCAAAAAATGAATTATAGATTAAACGACCCTTCACAAATTGAAAACTTTTTTTCTAAAAGATTTTTTGTTTCTTTAGTTTACTTTTGTTTGATTGGTTTTTTGATCAGAACCTACTCAAAAGTTTTCGAAACGATAAATTACTGTGGCGTTACAAAAGTCAAGAATTGAACTGCAAAGCTTTTATTCTATAATTATAGATTTATAAATTCATTTGATGTTTCAAGCTTTTTTCACGCTATACGATTTCTAACAAAAGTTTCTATAAATTTTGACAGGTTTATTGCTGCCTGTACTCGATATTCTGCGTTTTTCATTTCTTGATTCTAGCTTCAACCATCATTTTTTTATGAATCAAATGAATTCGGAACCTGAGATGAACATCATATATTATGCAAAGTCTATCCTGGTTCCAAATGGATTAATCAAAAATCAGTTCATGATTTTAAGGACTCTGTGCAATGCTTTTGCACACGAAACTGGAAAACATTACATCGTACAGAATATTGATTTGTTGCAGAAAAATCTTTTCATCGTGTCCGAAACAAATGATAAATCTATGCAAGTGGCATTAGCATCCCTATGTGTCAACCTTTCAGTATTTTACAACACCTCACAAGATGACGTTCAAAAAACCACCTTGCTATCGTTGATACAGGAGTTAATGATGAATGTTACAGACGAAGAGGCTTACTTTCGGTTCGCAGTTGCGATCGGAACAATTATTAAAGGTAATGATGTTATGTTGGCAGCTGCCAAATCTTTGCACTTTTATGATGTATTGAGAAATCACACATGTCCCAAAAACGCCAAACTAGATAAGACTAAAAGATGCTACGATGCTTTGCTTTCGTTATTAAAATAAATATTTCTTATGAACATTAAACGTCTCGTGATTTCTTCTGTGTGTTTACATCTTTTAACCAAAATCAACAAAATAATTTAGTTGAAAAAATGATATTTCACAAATAAAATTGCGATTGTTCTAATTAACATCAGCATTAATTTCGTTAAGTTGATCCATAGCTCCAGTCGATGTTATCGTTTAATATAAATACATAATGAACTCAAGTAGCTACATAAATAAAAACATATGAAAAATCAGTGGCAAACAAATATAATATACGAACTGTATTTATATGTTAATATTCTCTAAACTTAGAGAGAGGTAAACTTAAAATTAAAAGAAAATAATTGAACGTTGATAAGAGAACTACTTTCAACTGAGACAGCTAGATGTTTTAAACGTATAAACGATCATAAAACTAAATTATTACAGTTAAACCACAAAAATAAAAACATTGATATCGAGGACAGTTAATACTGATTGTATTATTGTGTGTATTCCGTCTGGTTAGTAGAGTGGCAGTATTGAGGATTGATTATTGAGCACCAGCCAGTCACCGTGGCACACTCCTTCGCGTCCTCTGCAGTATCACTGTTGGCACTTCCTCTTTTGCCGTGTTGAGCATTTTCTTTGCAGGTTTCTACAAAAAAACAACCCTGAATTTATCAGATCTAAGCAAACGTATTAAACAAATCCATCACTTTAACTTCCCACACACTATAGATGTGAGGTTGTAGCCAGGAGTGACTAATAGAATTTCAGAAATATATTAGGCTGTGCTTTTTATGCTGATGTCAAGTCTATTAGTTTAAACTCTATGAAGCACAGAAATTTTTAAGCAAGTTTTAAAGTAAATCCCATTTTTTTGCTACTCCAATATTTATTTTTTTTTATAATAAAGATAAAATATATTCAGTTATTTGCTAAATATTTGCCAGGTCTTGAAAGCTTAAATATCTTCAGTCGTTTGTACTGATCCTTATTGTTATGAGGCCATCCACCTACCGTTTTTTAATTATTTTTCCCTAAGTGAATGAAATTTGGCTTAGATGCTTGTGAGACGAGCCTCAAGATAAACGACAATTTTTCAAATGTTATCTATAAAAAGCAAAATATTTCTCAAAACTTACTAAGTTAATGATGGATTTAAAATTCCTGAGCGGAGCAGGAGAATGGAGGCTTCTTGTACCACTATTAAATTCTTCTTTACATTTTTTGTTGGGTGAATTCGAATCATCAGCATCATCAAGCACATGAACCAAATTTCCCTTCCACTTCAACTTAGATGGCGGCTTTGATGGTACTGAAAATATTCATTAAGAATTGGTAGTATAAATTATTATGGAAAATTATAAAATATTTGTCATTTCAATAAGGAAATGTAAAATAAATTATAAATATAAACAAGTACTTTTTCAAATACAAATTATTTGGTTTTGTACATAAAAAAAATGTATGAAAAGGGACTATTTTGAACACCATTAACTTTATCATAATGCATCCATTTTGTTTAACAGCAAGAGCTGATGATCCAACAATAAAATAAACGGTTAGCTAATAATGCAAAATGCAAGGAAGAAATGGTGAATTCGATGTTATCTCTGTCTCATTTTATATCTTCCAGGCCCCGGAACTTGTCCTTCAAATGAACAGCTGAGCCCGGAAGATACAAATTAAGACTAGAAAATATTGAAGCCACCATGCCTTTGTAAGCCAATCACATGAATATTAAAATAGGATATTAATTAGGAATTTTAGTTTTCTCATCTAAATATTTTTGAAAATTTTTAGTTAAGGCACTATTACAAGTATCTTTCTGTTTACTTTTTGTGTCTTTGAAGAAATAAATAAATAAATAAATAGGATAAAAATCCAGTGCACTCAACAAAATAGTCACAACCACACCAGATGAATAAAATTTTAAAAATATATGAAAAATTCTTTAAAAAAAAAACAATAAAAAGAAACAAACAACGAATAACTGAATGTTCATCATAAAATATATACAATGTTTGCATGGTGGTGCAAGTGGGAAAAAACTGATGCGTGTATAATTCCACATATATATTTTTTTTTTCCGGACAGTCTTAATCCAATATACACATAAATAAATTGGGTTGAGACTATCTGATATGCAGTTGGTCAGAAATATTGTAGCATTGCAGGCATTGTTTAACTTGCAATTGAGTTTTTAATCGAAAAATTCAATAACAATTTAAGAATCCCTGCAACGTTGTGATATTTTTAAACAACTGCAAATATATACATGTATATATATATATATATATATATATATATATATATATATATATATATTACAATATTCGATAAATTCTACCGAATGTTTGGCGTTAATATGTTTGTAGTTCGTTTTTTCGATTTTTCTCACTAAAGTTTTTTAGTGAGAAAAATCGAACGAATATTAAC